GAAAGCATTTCTTTGGAAGTCTAGCAAACCTCTTCCTAACACTCGACCTTCACATTCTCCGACATTTTGCCAAGCTATGTTAGAAAATGGTATAAAAATTCATCATAATCTTCTTCCAACAATTCGAGTTATTGGGATCAATTGTTTTATGACATGGTATCAGAGCTAGTTTGACCAAGTGGTCGTGTGTTCGAATCTCAACGACCCCAATATTAACAGTTGATTAAAGTACAAAGTATAGTGGGTCTGTGCAAACTTCAAACCCATGTGTTGGCTTTCGTTTGAGCGACGTATTAGAAAAAGGTATAAAGATCCAATCAAATCCGCACAAGTCAAGGAATCCAACCGTCCCTCCATGGAAAAAAAGTGTTTTGACTCTATTCTATTGATTCTTTTGCTTGCAGTTGAAGAATGTAAGGAAAAAAAGGTTATTGTTGACTAACATGTCGAATCAACAGTATTCATGATCCATGATTACTGATTAATTAAGTAACGATCTAAACGTGTGATGTTTTGATTTTGTTGGGCAACCAACTTTAATGGTTAGTATGCTCTTATTATTAGTTGATTTGAATTGAGAGATTAGAACAAAGATATGCAGAAGGCTTTACACGTACGAGCCCTTTCTAGAAGTACAGTGATTTTTGTAATGTCAAAATCCATTACCAACCATCATTCAATCTTGGGCAACTAACCTAGTACCTAACCATTCTTTTCAATTGACTACTAACTTAATTAACCAATTCTTTTTGTTTTTGTTTTCAAGCAATGTTGTTATTCCTTCTTCACATGTATTATCGCAAGCATGACCTCTGGCAAAATAAAAATAAAATTTGGGACGAAAACAATTATTGTGTCTTATTGAGTCATTTTCTACTCATTACTTCAGTCCTCTCAAATTTTCATTTCCTCAAAATTTTCCTTTCCGTCCCTAATTTTCCCTCTCTTTTTTGAACGGAGTGTAAAAAATGAAACTGCCATACTCATCCATACAAAAAGAAATTAAATCAAACTTTGTCTTTACAAATAAATCAGATTAACATAATTGATTAGTATCTCTATATTTAGGAATCTTGGTCCCTTTGACATATGTCTTTCAACCTTTACCTAATATGCCTCCTTAATAGTTGCCTGTCGGTCTAGTAATTTCTTGTTCCCATGTCAATGAGTATATCAACCAAATCCCATTGCCAACCAAATCGTTGAATTAAGTAACAAATCAATGTGTCCCATTAATACAAGTAGGTGAAAATTTATGCAAAAAGTTTTTTGTTGCATGTTTTGTTTATAAGTAATTAGGTAGAGAATATGAAATTTCCAACGGAATGGTATAAGATCGTATTTTTTGTATCTTTCAATAATTTGAATTATCGGTGATCAAAGTGTTCATAACCATATTTGCATACACACATGGGATGATGGATCAATCGTATAACGACCCATTTGATGGTTGCATGTAATATAACATCATATTTTTCGAACCTCTTTTCAACAACCAACATCAACGATATCTCGACACTAAATCAATTGTAAATATATAATTATTAAAGTTTTAAAAACACGATTCCAGTTAACATTAAACTCTAATATCATGTGAAGAACCCATCGAACTAATACGACCCAGCCGTTTCCAGCCAATGATCATGTATGCTGCCGTCTAGTGTGAGTGACGCCATGAAAATTAAGCTTAACAGAATTCGGACTTCCACATGGATCGATATTAATGCCACTATATATATTTTCCATTTGCAGGCTCCAGGAAACCCATATGTAAGATGAAAAGAAAACGATAAAATCCAAAACAAAACAATTAATATTAACGTCCATCCTTTCCCTGCAGGCGAGATACCATCAAGTAGTTATTTGCTGGGTTTTTGCAGCTTTAGAAATGGCCAAATTTGGATCTCCATATTTCCAGACCATGGATCCAATCTTTCTTAATTAATTATCTCCTTCTTATAAATACACTAACCGCTCCATTACCTAATAGTACCATCAACCCTTGTTTTTTTATTCTTAGTTTTCTCCTCTCCGAATCCTTTAATTTGCTATTTTTCATTCATTTCCTCCCCGAGAAAAAAATGCCTGCAGCTGACATCTCATCGTCACCGGCCGGAGGCGGCCATGGTCAGACAGTTTGTGTCACCGGCGCCGGCGGCTTCATCGCCTCTTGGATTGTTAAGCTTCTCCTTGCTCGAGGCTACTCGGTCAGAGGAACCGTCAGGAACCTAGGTTGGTTGTCTTCCATTTGCATCAATAACCCAGTGGTGTTGTTTGTTGAGAGAGGCCCAATAATAAAATTCGGTACCACACACTAACATGATCATTCAGATTAATACCAATTCATAATTTCGCGCGGCTACGAATATCATGTGTTTAACACATGGAGGTCATGCAATTAGAACATAAGTACTTTAGGTTAAGGAAGCTTCTTCTCTACGATGTTAAGAACTCATTGGTTCCAATAACTCGAGTTGTTGGAAGAGGTGGAATAATGGATAGTAACACTTTCTTCACGATAAAACATATATAGCTGGGAATTATGTCGTTTGGATGCATCATTTTGAGCCTGTGGTATTTCAAATCAAAATGTTGCATTATTTGGTTTTGTGACATTTCATGTGGTATTTTACAGGTAATTTGGTCAATTGTTTTGTTTGGATAAAACATTAAAAAATTGTGTTATTTCATCACTTAGAGAAGGGATGGAGTGAAAAAAAAAAAGAGATTGAGACATGAGTTATTTGAAATAACTAGGGGTTGGATAGGTATTTCAAATAACTCACAATGAGTTATTTCAATTACCTCATGGGCAGAAAATACCACATTCCATTATTATTTTTGCTAAACGAGTTATTTCAGCCGAAATAACTCATTCTTAGTTATTATTTCAGCTGTAATACTTGCTCGAATTACCTCATCCAAACAACCCGTTAATTAATCAGTTTTCTTGGGTTTATGCATGGTTTGGATAATACACATATATGCAATTGCAGAGGATCCCAAGAACGAGCACCTGAGAGAACTAGAAGGAGCAAAAGAGCGGCTGACCCTATGGGAGGCCGATCTTCTGGATTACAACAGCCTTGGAAGAGCCATAAGTGGCTGCCATGGCGTTTTCCATGCCGCTTGTCCCATCACCGATGATCCCGTAAGTTATTTTTCAGTCCTTATAATTAATGGCTAGGCTGGACTTTTGCTTACGGAAAGAGGTTCAGTAGAAATGGATAAATCTTACATAATTATGCGTGGACGACGACAATTTGAAGGAACAAATGTTGAGGCCGGCGGTGGATGGGACCAAAAATGTGATCATGGCGGCATCGGCGGCCAAAGTCCGGCGGGTTGTCTTCACGTCGTCGGTGGGCGCCGTGTATATGGATGCCAACCGGAGCACCGACGTGGTGATGGACGAATCGTATTGGAGTGACCTTGAATATTGCAAGGACACCAAGGTATAATACATGTATATTATTATTTTTAATTAGTTTGCATATATGTAGCTAGCTTATATTTGGCATATAATATATAGTCTGCATCCACATCTATTAGATTAGGGCTGGCTATTTGGTCCCGGACTGTTTGGTTTTATCCGAAACCGGATCGTATAACCCGGACCCGAACCGGACTGGGACCGGATAGCAAACAATGCAATCTCATATTCGGGCTTAGATTTGAGGTAAAAAACCGGATAAAGACCGGATAAGAGACCCCCAACACCTAAAATCAAGATAAAATTGGGACCAGACCGGACCGGATCAAGACCGGACTGTATCCAATCCAATTTTTGGTCCTTATATTCCCGAAAAGACCGGACTGGGACCGGATCAATTTGGTCCAATTTAACCGGACCGGAGCGTATAGCCACCCTATATTAGATGCATTTTGTTACATGAAAAGGTTTGGTGGCCACCTAAAGAGTCACATCGCTCCATTCACATATTTGTTTTTGTTCATTCACATAGTGATTATTCACATCATTCAATACTTTTTGTGTAAGAGTTATGATTATTCACGCAAATTAAATTTCAAATTTTTTTTAAGAGGCGTTCAAACGGAGTGGTTACCATGGTAACGGTTTTAATCGGTAGTATTTAGAAAATTTTGTTTGGTTAATTTGAATAATTGATTTGGTTTGGTGAAATTTTGTAGCTTATTTGGTTTAGATAATTTAGTTTAGTTTCAGACGCTCCTAACCAATCAAACCAAATTAACCAGTTTAGTAATTTGCCATATACATATAACATATATCTTATATACACATGCTTAATACTTTTACATACCCACGTTAAATGTAAGATAATTGCAAACTGATGCACTAACCGAAAAATTTTCTCACGGTAATGTGATGACCATATTTTATGGAATTAAATCTGGATTTTAACTTTTTTTCTTTTCTTTTCTTAGAATTGGTACTGTTATGGCAAGACCGTGGCGGAGCAGACGGCCTGGAAGCTGGCGAAGGAGACGGCCGTGGATCTGGTGGCGGTCAACCCGGTCGTGGTGTTGGGTCCGCTGCTGCAGTCGAGCGTCAACGCGAGCAGCGTCCACATCCTCAAGTACCTAGCCGGATGGGTCAACACCTACGCCAACGCGGTTCAAGGCTACGTCCACGTCAGAGACGTCGCCGGAGCCCACGTTCTCGTGTTCGAGGCCCAGTCCGCCTCCGGCCGCTACCTCTGCGTCGACAGCGTCATCCACCGCGGCGAGGTGGTCGGCATCCTCGCCGAGATGTTCCCCGAGTATCCTCTCCCCACCAAGTGAGTACCAAATCTCCATTGTTATAACTTATAAGAACCGGACCGGAGGCACGGTAGAACCGCCGAATCAGTTACAATAGCGGTCCGGTTCTTTGCTTGTACGATTACTAATGAATCAGATGATTTTTTCACGGTTCAACATAAAATCAGATGAACCAACACCGTTTTTTATTGATACACTGATTCTCTATTTTAATCACACATCTTTAAAAAAAATTACTTTAACATAAACTAAGACCATCAAATCATGATTATTAATTTTGTATCTGCTTTCCCTTCTTATTTTCCAATCTTGTTGTCGACTTTACGTGGTCCACTACTGACTTGCACCGTAATTTAAATTTTGAATTAAGAAAATATAATTTCTTTTGTGAGACGGATTGAATGATTTATTAGATATTTTGGTGATGATATGAATCTGAAATTGTTTATAGTCAATAATTACTTCATTCTTATATTAGTGTCATATACAAGTCTCGTATGTTATATATCATGAACGATTCTATCAAAGGTGAACCCACGATTTCGTAACAGTTGACCACTGAATCCTAAACCACTAACTATTCCGATCCAGCCTCCAGTCCGGTTCTGAAAACAGAGCCAAATCTCCAATTTGCATTGGTAATTCACTTGATCATATGTAAATATGCATGAGATGATGTATATTTGAAACTGATAATACATGCAGGTGCTCGGATGAGAAGAACCCAAGAGCAAAACCACACAAGTTCAACTGCCAGAAGCTGAAGGAGCTAGGGTTGGAGTTCACACCAGTGAAGCAATGCTTGTATGAAACTGTCAAATCCCTCCAGGAAAAGGGCCACCTTGTTGCCCTCCCTAATAAACAGCATTAGGAAATAAATCATCTGCTCTTCACACATACATGAACCAACTTAAATGTTGCACTGTCATTATTATATTATGCCCTAGCTAGATCACATCTTGCAAGTGGCTTATATATTTCCTTGCACTGCTTGGCTAGTTAGGGATCTGTAACAATGCATGCGTTGGTATCGCAATGAAGGGGGAAACGTCTTAAAGATGGCGAATTTGAGAATTAGGGTTAATTTTTCCATGAAAGGGCTTGAAATGGATAATGACAAGAGTACAAGGACTTATTTTTTCAGATGATGGTAGTACAAAGAACTTGCTACATATGCCACCAACCGTTCTAGTTCATGGGACGTCACAAACATGGATTTCCCCCCCACAAAACACACACCAGACAGCAAAAGATGGCTTCTCACTATACAAATCTCCCGACCAACGGTTCAAAAATTAATAAAACTACATCCTCTGGGAACTTCAAACATTCTCAACTCACTATTTTTTGGTGTCTTTATACTTGGCTTCCCACCACATACCAAATGGCAGCAAGCAGGACTTTTTCCTATGGTTTCCAGATGTGTTTTGAAATGTGCATTTCATATCAAAGGATTCGGTCTTGAAGATCTGTCATCAATGACGATGCTAAGGAGCTGAGCTTCTTCGTCGTCTCTCCAGCGATGTTCTTCAACGAGGCAATATCTTGTTGTGTCTGAAAAATGTGATAAGAAACAGAGAACTCAGGCAAAAAAAAAAAAAAAAAAAAAAACATTTCCAACCAAATCAACTTTTCTTATGTTTAAGCAGTTTTTAAGAACCATATACCTGGAAAGATAACCGGTTGATCATGTCACTTGCAGTAAGATCGATGGTTGCATTGTCGTTGCTGCGACCAAAAAGATCCGCACTTGAGATGGATGAAGAACCCTGGAAGGTCACATTGATTGGATTTTTTTATTACTTGTGGGGAACTTAAACGTAGAATCGCGACTATCCATTTGAGAAAAAAAAGAACTTGGAAGGTAAGAGTTAGTTATTCATGATAGACTTAGCAACCACAGAATCAGGCATACCGAGTATTTCTCCAAAGAAGCTTGAGCATCAACATCAGCTGATTTATTCTTATCGCCAAAAAATTGAGCTGATGAAATCGACTTGGCATTTGAGAACTTTTTCCTAGCTTCATCCGTCTCCTCAATCTGAAAAGAGGATTTGATTATAAGCAGAAAAAGAGACAGCACATGGCACTATGGCAGTCCACAAAATCATTTACAAGTGACACACATAAGATGAGATTAAGTGAAAGACTACTTGTACAGGACATGGAAGTTTTTCACCATCACCCACAGGATTGTGAAAATGATCACATGGGAAAAATCAGGGTCCCTGCTCTGCCATTGTTACTGGCAAACAATAAAGAAGGGACGGGAGGATGCTGCCTAGCATGCCATGAACAACATGTTGCACGTACTTGATACTGTTCTAGATAGCAAACTCAGCATGGTAGATGTTGCTAGAAGATCGGAAAAATTAAGGAAAATATCACTAGCAGATTCAATGAGCATGCTCAAAGACTATGACTCCTGTAATGCATGGTTTCAATTCGAGGTCAGTAACCAGCTTTTCCGAAATTCACCCAGATTCCATTCACAACAAAATAAGAAACAGTTTCCATTAAGGGCTCTAACTTTAGAAGGGAGAGTTGTATTGAACAGTAGGCAATTTAAGTTAAGAATGAGACATCAGCCTACTTTCAGAATATCAGCCATAATATAATTGAAAACTTCACCAATACTTACTTGCACTCTAGAGGAACTTGAGTTCCCTATTTTCTGGAAACCACTATCCATTCCAAGATCTGCAAAGAAGTTTGATGACTTTGGTGCAGAAACATGGCTAATCACTCGTTGTCCACCAGGAACCATATCCGAGGGCTGGATATTGTCTACATACTCGAAACGAGATGTAAGAGATGCCCCAGATTTTGGGTTGCCAGTCGAAGACAATGGAACAGGAAGAGGTAACTCTTCAGGCTTCTGATCATAGAGACTTTCATTTGGCTGCACATCAAAATGTTTGACAATTCTATTTTGAAGCATGTTGCCAAGTCAATAAAATGGAATATTTTCAACTTTCAAATTCATTCTGGTCCTGAGATTTGAAAAAAAAATATATTAAGTACAAAAGAACGAGAAAAATATCTATCTACCTTTGTAGTGAGCTTTTTGGCACCAAGACCCCCAGTCTTCCCAGTTTTCCTTGCTGCAAGAGGCTTCTTGACTGTAGAAGTGGTAACTACTGGATGGACTTTTAAAGGGGGTGCTGACAAAGTAGCTACCACAGGTGTTTCCTGCTTTTCTAATGATGTTTCTTTAGAAGAGTCAGTTATAGTCACATCAAGCAATCCATTTGTGCCTTCAGCAGACTGACAAGAAACTGGCGACGATGGCAGGGCCACATCTTCGGCCACGCTTTTTGCAGCCTCCTTTGAGAGAATTTGCCTATACAAATCTGCAGCTCTAGATGTATATTTTCCCTCAATTTTACCCCCATCTGTCCAGCCATGCTGCTTAAAGAACACATTTGCACGGTTATTTCCACCAAAAGTCATCATCTTTAACTGCTCTGGCGTCCATGAGTCTAAAGTCGTGGACCTGCCAAACAAAATAAATGGGGTTATAAATCAGCTTATGTGAATCTAAAAATGAAGAACTACAATTCAAGACCATACAGACTTGATGACAACACAAAGAGACAATTGTGGAGATAGGCAAGAAAACGAACTGCCCAAAAATGGCCCCAGATTTCATACTCATATTCTTACAACAAGCATTCAAGCCAAACCAAAATACACCCCCATCCCCCCCCCCCCCACCCAACAAACACCAACTACTTTCCCAATATAAAATACTGAATAGCCAATCCTTAAATGAAATAACCATAAAACAAAGCGAAATGGGAGGGCAGTGACCCGTCTGATTACCTTACAAAAGTCAGATGCACACCAAGGCTACGATGAATAGCAGAACAATCGATGCAGAGGAAGACCCCATAGGTTACAGAAGCCCACGTAGGATTCTTTGCATTACAATCAAAACACATCTGTAGAAAAGGTAAATGACTTTACTTCCAAAATCCAGATGGGAAGAACACCCAACATAACTGAAACCAAATCCATAGCCCATAAGAAATCGTAATTATCAGCACAAGGAAACATACTTTGTTCTCAGATTTTCCTCTGAGTTTCCTAAACACTGCGTCTTTGTCAGTAAAATTGTCGTTAGATGCCATGATTGCTTGCTGCTTTCACCAAACAAGACAAGAGATTGTGGTTAGAATTTAGAAAGAAGAAAAGTTTGGGAATACAAAAGATGTAAGTGGAGTAATCTTGCTTTCCCACACCTCAGATATGTACAATACTAGACATTCTTAGTTCGAACATTTCAGTAGTCGTGAGATGTGCTTTGTCATATTGCATTTTGGAAGTGATAAGATTTGATAATTCCCCACTAATAAAGGGTTGGAACTAAAACGGAGGAAGAGTTCAGCTCATATCCCAGCCAGTGACGAATGAACACTTAAGGGGATTCATCTACCTCCTGATTCCAGTACACTGCAGAAACAATGCCTTCATGCAAATCGATTCCAGTACACTGAATACAACAACAATTCCACAAACCCTACCTACAGAACAAAATACCTAGGGTTTTCACCGACGTCCTCACAAACGCGGAGAATGAACAGCAACGGATCGACAGAGACGGAAACAGATCAGGCGGAGAGGTGGTGATGGTCGGAAAAAGAGACGAGCGCTCCTCCGATCTACCGGCGTTTGCGTTTCCCTCCCCCGCACGATTTCGGCGATTCCACGCACTATCTGGTCTGAGGCGACAGAGATTCTAAGAAGTAGTAGTAGTCGACTAGTAGACCAACAATTACGGCGGCGCCCGCGAGAGGAGCGGAGGAAAGTGTGAAGGACGGCGGCGGCGGAGACGATCAGCCGGCGCGTTTTGAGCCCGCGATTTCTGAGCTTTGCCTGAAAATCTTCCCCACAATTTCGCTATGGTACACACATCAAATTTTGTGTGCGCCAACTCACACGGCGGGGAGAGGGCCACATCGCCAAGCCAGTAACGGTCGGTCATGATTGAGCGAGCTGGGCGTAAGAGAGGAAAGGAGAAAAGTGAAGCCGGCTGAGCCGAGCCAAAAACTGAAGGGAGGGAAAGGTGGTGGGGTCATCGAGTTGGAGTTTTGAAATTGAAAAAAAAACCCTGATTCCTGTCTCCTCCTCCACTCTTCTTCCTTCTCTCTGCTCCTTCTTTCTCTATTCTTCTTCTTTCTCCGTTTTTCTTTCTCTGTTTTGCTCTCGTCGAACCAGAGCAACACAGACCACCCCCTCCCAAAAACAAAGAAAAGCGAGGAACACCGGAACAAGAAAAGCGCGGAAGAAATCGTCCTTCTCTTGTCGGCGACGAGCAGCCCAGTCGATAACCAGGAGAGCTTTGACGAGGAAGAATCGTCCTTCCTCGAGTTCTTTGTATTTCGGCTGACCTTTCTCGCCTATTAATACCGGTGAGGACGATTCTCTCTGTCCTTTTCTTTCTAGCTGTGGGGTTTTGCCTTGAATCCCCTTTTTTGCTTCATTCTTGAGTGTTTAGGGTTCACTGAATACGCGTTTAGGGTTTTTTCAGTACACCTTCAAAATCGACTCGATTCTCATGGGTATTCTTCAGAATGTGTCTTGTGTGGGCGAGATATGTGAATTTTTTGTTGACCAAGTTTTTGGGTTCTTGCTTAGAATCAGTTCTTGCTTAGAATCAGTAAATATGGTTGAATCCAAAAGTAGTTGTTACCGTAACCTTCAATCTATTGAATACTAGTGATTTGTGATTTGAAAATTAGTTGTATAATGTAGACTGTGTTGTTGACGAATACTAGTTCTTGTGATTTTGAATATTAGTTGTATAATGTTGATTGTGTTGTTGATGAATACTAGTTCTTCTGATTTTGAATATTAGTTGTATAATGTTGCCTGTGTTGTTGGCGAATATTAGTTCTTCTGGTTTTGAATATTAGTTGTATAATGTTGACTGTGTTTTTGGCTAATACTAGTTCTTCTGATTTTGAATATTAGTTGTATTCATTGAAATTGTTTGTCTGCAGCTAGATTAATACTGTATGTTGAAAATTCTGAATATAAGTTCTCTTCATTGTGTTATGTTTTCCCCTTTTCTGAATACATGTGTTTTTGGTCTACAGGTTTGGAATAATGGTGCGAACCAAGAAGCGTGTTCCTGGACCTATGAAACGACCGTTAGTAGATCCTCCTGTTGCTGAAGATGTTCCTCCTGCTGCTGAAGATGTTCCTCCTGCGTCTGAAGATGTTCCTCCTGCTATGAAATGACAACGACCCTTAATAGATCCCCCTTCTGCTGGGAAGTCTGGTGGGGAGTCTTCTGGGAATGCTGCTGCGGGGAAAGCTGCTGAAGATGTTCCTCTTCCTACTGCTGAAGATGTTCCTCTTGGTCCAGAAGATCAGGTTGCAGCAAAAAGAGTTAAGTTTGCTGCTGGGACGTCCGGTGAGACCTCTGCAGGGAAGTCTGGTGAGACTTCTGTTGGGAAGTATACACACAAAATGAGAGAGGCCCATCTACACTTGCTGCCCATTACGAAACCCACACTGGTGCAGTCGCCTATTTCCTCTCCCGCCTCTGCAGTCCCCTTTCTCCCTTCTCCCTTCTCCCATCACGAAACCCATCATTGTCGCAAACCCTTTCTTCTATTTTCTCCCTTCCACCGTCCCGAAACCCTTTCTTACCTTTTTCCCTTCCCCCATAGCGAAACCCACGCTCGAGCAGCATAAACAATGAACCCTAGAGTTCCATGGACCGCGACTACGAACTGCCTACTGATCCACAAGGTTATACACTTTCCTTCCTTGCATCTTTTGATTTTGGTATTAAGAAGGTCTGTTGAACTGCCAGATCGTGCTCTCACACTAAATCTATTCCCTATCACATGTACAACAGATCCGATTGTAGCATGCACACCATTTCGTCTCCTTGACCTCGGATGGTACGACGAAATACTTATAGCTAGATTGCTTAAGACATGGGTGGAATATAGAGATGGAAAAAACATGGCGCAAGCGAGTACTACATATGTTGTGGCTAGACAAAGAGGTATGTTTGCCAACTAAATCGTTTCAAGCATTGTTTGCACCCACAACTTTACCTAGACCCTGCCTTCGCTGTCTTTTCACTGCGTGGTTTCACCTATTACATAGGAAAATTTGCTTGAAGCATGCGTTGAGGAAGATGACATCGATTCCATTTGGCCGCAGCTAAAGATAGATTGTCTTTATAAAAATATGTGGAGTACAGGTCATCCCCGCCAGGGCTGCGATGCGCACCGCGCCCGCTTTAGTGCGATTGTCTTTCAGCAAATTTTCCTCATTTACGCACATCCTGGAGAATCGCAGTCGTATTCAATTCTCATGCAATGGCTTCCTCAGCAACCCATTTGCTTCTGTTCCATTTGAACATGCAAATCCCTTATGCTGCTCAGGTTGCGTGATCCATCCAACTGTTTTGAACATGCACTATCGTTCGGACGTATTCATTGGCTGACTGTTTAGTAAACTGACAGATGTCACAGGTTGCGTGATCCATCTAACTCTCCCAAAAGTGATGGAAAATGGTGATTCGCAAATCCAAATCATCATGGAAGAAGCTAGGTATTCTATACCTTAACACCTAGTTGTGTTGCTGCTGCCTTGCACGCATTAAGCACTAACACTGTCTTTGTCTTTTACAAAAACAGTGGAGCGAGGGCAACTGTGCACTATTCGGGCCCGGAGGTTAAAAAGTATCTTACCTATGCCCCGGGTGCAGAATCCTGTCTCCCCCTAATAACTACGATCACTGCAGTGACTAGGCTCCCTGCTGTGTTCGGAGATGATGCTCCTTATTAATTCTAATCCTCACCAGGAAGTAGACTGCTCATTGCTTCATATAATCACCAACATGCATTTGTCATTAATAGGTACATTTAAATGGCAGTATTGTTTCTATTCCTTTGATTGCCAAACACCTTTTACATTGAAAATGTACGCACTGCAATAATTTCCGACCTGCACTTTAGATTCGTTGGCAACCGTAGGCCAGTTACTTACATTGACAAAGATACTGGACATCGTGTTGGATTCTTGCGTGGCCAACACCCGGCGAGAAAAACGCTTGGAGAACTACAACAAGATCTGGCACTTCAGGCGCATCGTCATGAGGTACATTTCCATACTCTTTTTTACACTTAATATGTTGCCACACTATGTAATTTTTTGGGACCAAAAGGTTGAACAATGCTATTCTTGTTAAGGACCTCTATCGCTGCATGTTGGAGATCACTGCGTTCAGCTATGGCCGTGGCATTTGCAAGACAACACCAGAATACCCAGAGTGAGCACATAAAAACTTTGTTCAAACATTCAATTTATCCTCCCATTAGTTTTGCAAACCGCATGGGGCCGGGGCAGTTTGGTTGCAAACTGCACCCCACCATGCGGTTTATATATATATATATATATATATATGGTGGCTTCTATGGTACCCCGGGTGAAATTCAGGGTACCGTATACCTTGAGTATGAAAACACTATCTAGGCCTCGAAATAGAAAAAACTTTGGGCTTGGTACTATACCCTAATCCTTATTGAGTGAACCCTAGGTCCTAATTATCTAAATCATAAACTATAAACCCTAGGACGGAGCATTCATTTTTTTACCTATATTTGGACGAATCATAGCCGTCGATTATTATTTCTAATTAAATTGATATTAGAGTATAAGATTTAGGGAGCTAAGACCTAGATTTTGATCTTTAAGGGTTAGAGTATAATATCATGTCCAAAAGATCAATCAATTCAAGGTCTGGATAGCGTTTTCATACTCAAGGTATGCGGTACACCGGATTTCACTCGGGGTACCGTAGAACTCGCCATATATATATATATATATATATATATATATATATATATATATATATATATTGTTTTTCAAAATATATTTGACAAGTGGTCTTTGCACAATTGGTTTAGTTGTTTATTGTGTGCAAGAAGTCCTGGGTTCGAATCCTTACCATCCCATTTGATTTTCTTTTTAGAGATTGTGTCGTAGTAAGTGAGGCATGTCATGATGCTGTCTCATGGATGCGAATGAGAGGGTGGAATCAGATGTGGGTTTGTGAGAAGAAGATTGATTTTCTTTTTAGAGATTGTGTCGTAGTAAGTGAGGCATGATGCTGTCTCGTGGATGCGAATGAGATGTGGGTTTGTGAGAAGAAGAGGGGAAACGGTGAGGGGGGACATGGAACCAGGAGTGGCATTTCAAGCCTAGAGAGGTAGCTACCTCCATTCAAGCAATTCACCGAGCACGAAGCCTGCAAAAAACGAAGGGTGGCGTCTGCTAATATTGAAGCTTGAAATTTTAAGCTCCTTCTCACCGTAGCTCTCTCACAAAGTCGGGATCAGCTCAGTGTGAATCTCTACCGGCGTTGGCGGTCTTTTTTTTTTTTTACAAAAGATAATCATATATTGATTTAGACAACGACAGTTACACCCTGGAGAACAGCCAGGTCTGAAAATCAAAGAAACGACATAAAGTCGGGAACAAAGAAAGGGCTTTTCTAGCTACCACATGAGCTACCCTATTATAAACCCGACCTACAAATCGAATACTAAAGCCAGCATGAGCATCAAACAACTGAACAACTTCCTCAAGAACAGCACCCATCTGGCCATCTCTGCTATCCCTCTTAATGATTTTGTCTATAATCACCTTAGCATCCCCTTCAAACCTGACCGCCTCAAGACCATGCTCACAGCACCACACCATAGCTTCACGGAGGACCAGTAACTCCGCCACAGCAGGATCATCTACCCCTGGGAACTGAACCCCTTTAACCCAGAGGATCTCTCTAGCTGGAGTTAAAATCACCATCCCCCCAGCCGCAATAGAGCCGCTCCTCGTAGCCCCATCCCACATGCAAACAGCCACGCTAGGATCAACTAGTGCCGGCTGCTGCACCCGAGGACAAACTGCTAGAGGGGGCTGACCACCTGGCAACCTTACCCATTCCTCATATTGCTGATTATACTGCCCCATAAGAACAGGGATCGTATACTCCATGCCCTCAAAGACTACCCCAGTTCCGAGACCTCCAGATACGCCATAGGATGGCTATAACCGCCATAACCAAGTCAGGCTGGTGAATAAGAGCCAGCAGCCTTTTTAGAAACAAGGGAAAGGTGTGACGGGGCAAACCCTCCCCGAGGTAGTCCAACCCAGCAAACTCCCAAAGGGCACGGGCCACAGGGAACTCAAGAAACAAATGCTCCATCGTCTCGGGAGCAGCCCAGCAGACCGGACATCGAGGGTGCACCGGAGCTTTCTTCTCAATAAGTGCCTCTGTAGTAGGAAGGATGCGATTAAGAATCTGCCAGACGAACACCTTGAGTTTAGGCGGGATATTAGCCCCCCATACCCGTATCCAGCTGGGCTTATCCATCCAACTGGCCAAAGCCCTCCACCGCCCTTCCCGTCTCTCCAGTGTGGTTGCAAGATGGTAGGCAGATTTGACCGAGAAGATCCCATCCCTAGAGTAATGCCAAATTAACTTGTCCTCCACATTATGCCGTGGTAATGGAATGGCTTTAATTGCTCTACAGGTATGCGGATCAAACCACTGGCCCAGTTTCGCCTCATTCCAGCGTCCTTCCCCCTGGGAAATAACCTCTGCCACCACCGGATCACCCCCGTCGGGCAAGACTTGAGGATTATACCTTAGGGGTTCAAGCTGAAACCTAGGAATCCAGGAGGAGTGGAGCAAGGAAGCCGACCGCCCATTACCAATCTGCCATCGTAGCCCCTTCACCAACAATTGACGACCAAACAGGATGCTCTGCCACCCCCACGACGGACGTGACCGGGCTGAGGCTGTGAGGAAAGTACCCGTCGGGAAGTATTTACCTTTGTAAACCTGGGCAAGCAATGACTGTGGATCCGTAAGAATACCCCAGCCAATCTTAGCAAGAAGGGCTTTGTTAAACTGCTCAAACCGGCGGAAGCCCATTCCTCCCTCATGCTTACTACGACACATATTCCGCCAAGACATCCAACGAGTCTTGGGCTGCCCTTCAACCACCCCCCACCAGATCTAGCCACATGCTTATCCAACAGCCGACACAGAGAGACCGGCAACTTGAAACATGACATCACATGGAGCGGCAACGCCATAGCAATAGATTTAATCAATGTTTCCTTCGCCGCCCAAGATAAAGTCCTCTGTTTCCACCCCTGAAGGCGCTCAAGAAGCTTTTCCTCCAAATAACGGAATGTGGCTATTTTGGATCGAGCCATCAGAGTCGGTAACCCAAGATATTTATCATGCACCCCTACCGCACCGACTCCTAGGATTGCATCCAAGAATTCCTGGTCTTGAAGGACAATGTTCTTGCTGAAACAAACAGCCGACTTAGCCAAATTCACTCGCTGGCCACTAAGTTCTTCATACTCATTCAGGACCTCAATCAAATTCTCGCATTCCAGAAGGGACCCACGCAGGAACAGATAAGAATCATCCACAAAGAAAAGATTCGAGATCCGCGGAGCCCGAGGGGCCACTTTCACTCCCCCTAGCTTATTTTCTGATATTGCCTTTCGAAGGATTGCAGCAAACCCTTCAGTGCAAATCACAAACAAAAGGGGAGAAAGAGGGTCACCCTGCCGAAGGCCTCTGGATGGAGTGAAATATCTTGACGGGGACCCATTCATTAAAACCGAGAAAGAAGACGACCGGAGACATTCATGAACCCATCCACACCAGGTTGAGTTAAAACCCATCTTTGTCAAAACTGCAAGAAGAAAGGGCCATTCGACTCTATCATAGGCCTTTTCCATGTCAACCTTTAGAGCCATGTACCCTTTCTTGCCCCGAGTCTTGATCTTAAGGTAGTGCATTAACTCATGCCCAAGGAGGATATTCTCAATAATTTGCCGGTCGCGAATAAAAGCATTCTGGCCTTCCGAAATGATTTGTGGCAGAAAGCACGCAAGCCGCTCAGCCATGATCTTAGTTACAATCTTATAGACAAACTGACATAGGCTGATAGGCCACAACTAGGTCATGGTCTCCACGTTTTCAACTTTAGGGATCAAAGTCAGCCACGTGTGATTGAAACTCTTAAGCATCTTACTTGTAGCAAAGAAAGAGCAAACAGCCTCAATCACCGACCCACCCACAATATCCCAAAAGGCTTTAAAGAATTTCCCAGTGAAGCCATCCGATCCCGGAGCCTGCTTAGAACCCATGGAGAAAACTGTTTTCCGCACTTCCTCAGGAAGGACTTCTGCCGTGAGGCAGTCATTCATGTCAGGCGTCACTTTCTGGGGGATGGGCAGGCCATCCACTCTCTCTGCCATGTTACGCACCTGATTTTCCGAAGTAAACAGCTTTCGATAAAAGGTATCAGCAATTTCGGCCTTCCCTTTCTCCTCCGTGACCCAGTCACCCTCATCATTACGCAAGCCAGCTACGTAATTTCTTTTACGACGAGTCCTGGTTACCGTATGAAAGTAAGCGGAGTTTTGATCGCCTTTTTTCAGCCACCGAACCCGCGACTTTTGCTGCCAATAACTTTCCTCCGCCTCCCATTGTCTACTCAGCTCGAATTCCAACTGGCAGACCTCATCCCAATTAATCGGGGATTGAGCTTTTATCCGATCAATTTCGGACCGGAGAGTTTTGATATTTCGCAGGGAGTTCGTGGTACCTGCTCGACTCCAGTCGTACAGCAAATGCCAAAGTTTCTTAAGACGTTCCCAAAGTCTGAACATCGGGGTACCCTTGACTTCCTCCTGCCACACATACTGCACCATTGCCCGAACTTCCGGGTTGTCCGCCCATCTGGCATCAAAACGGAAGAGGGGCCGACTATGTCGCACATACGGCTTGTCTGAAAGAAGCAAGGCACGATGATCCGAGCCCTAGTCCGTGAAATGCTTCACTAGGGTATCCGGGAAGAGGTCAATCCAAGATTGGGAACAAAGGCCTCTGTCTAATCTTTTCCTAACACAAGCTGCTCCCATACGTTTATTTGTCCAAGTAAACTGATCCCCCTGATACCCAGGGTCATGAAGACCAAGATCATGTACAAATTCGCGTAAGCTAAGAGACTGAGCTGTGTTCCAACTGACCCAAATGGAACCATTTGCACTTTTAATGATATATTGGGTTTGGGTTGTATTTGAATTATCGTATTTGGGTCAATTCATTTGGGTTAGAATCAAATGAGTTTAACTGGGACCAGATGATTGCATAAAAAAAAAAAAATTACCAGCCATTTCAATAACTACGTACAACCCAATTATACACTAATTATACACTTTTTTTGTGAGACCCAATTATACACCTTTAATGTAAGTGTTTCCAACTTTCAATTTATTTTATAATCAAGTACCCATATTATTGACTTTGTAATATGGATCCAATTTACAACCAACTAAAAAAATTGAATATGAATATGCCTCATAAGTAAAATTACCCAAATTAAGTTAGGCTTGGGAAATACTCAAATATTGGGGTTTTTTCCATATGTAAACGTGATAGAAGGAGAAATAAAGGGAGTTTAGTTCCTTTAGTAATAGAAGTACATAGCAAGAACAAATTTCGTAACTGCAGGATATGAGGCACCTTTCTTAGCAATCCCAAAGTAGAATGACAATGGTCAAGCACTTCTCCACCTTCAGCTCAACTCAAGGCCTTGCCTAAAACCCCTCCACAAACACACAGTTACAAATTAGCTCGTAGACATACAACTACGAGAAACGCAGTCAGACACAAAAGGTTCTATGGATCACAAGCCAGGTATTCATGCTTCAAACGAACAAAAGGATGTTCAGAACAGCAGGTTGAACTCAGAAAACCAGTATCACAATTCTCTCCATTCAACACCAAACTATAAACATAACACCACAAGTAAATGCAAATCCTGAAAGGCCACAAGCCATTGACAGATGGCCCCTCATAGGTCTGTCCCCATTCAGTTGGCACGGCTCTTGAACACGTCGAGCCCCATCTCTGTAGGATCAGTTGCTTGCAACTCTACCTGAATTCCATCGAGCTCTCTCTTGAACCTGTCTTTTGAGCTCGCGTAAATCATCTTGCTTCTCACCCTCGCTGTGTCAGGAGACCTTGAAGGCCACCACCATAACAGATGTGTAATCAGCACACGACAAAATACAAATTGGACAGGATAAAGGACAGATGATGCAAATGTGTGAACTTAAGAAGAACATAGACACTAAAAATTACCATGCAATGAAAAATATCCTGCTCTTCTGGCAGTTCTCCACTGTGACAAAGTCAAAATCATAAACAGCATAGCGGCACTCATCAGCAGGGATGCTAGCAGCAAAATCCTCATAGCTTTGACTTGGATCGCCAAGCTTCTCCACAATAACTTGCTTTTGCTCCTCCTCGATCTTGAAAATTATGGAGCGGTAGGTTCTTTTTGCCTTCAGCTCCAAGAATTTCAATTTGCAGTCATCGTGGACTGCCATCCCGGATGCTGCATTTGCCTAAAAGGTAACATGAACGCACAGTCCATAGTAGTCAATACTAAGTCAAACTCTAGCTCCCCTGTGACGCCAGAATCATAATTCAAAGACGAGCCTACTAAGTCGACGCAAGTTATTTTTGGAGCTATCGATCAGATTCATTCATTAACTGCCCAAATCCAATCCCAAGAGGAAAACAAATCCAATATTGAAAAGCCTAAATTGATAACGCAATAAATCTCATAGTTGCCCTCAAATCTCAAACTTGGATCATGACTAATTGAAACACTACCAAGTAAACCCATAAAAAAACTGCAATACAAGCAAATCAATGAACGAGGAGCTGCAATGGAGTAATTTCAGAAATAAAGCCAAACATCACCATCGATCCACCTCGACAACAGATACAGAACACAAAACAAACCGCCTAAATTGCACACAAATGAACACTTGACCCTCTTAGCTAAACACAAGAGCAATCGTCAAAATCGAAAGAAGGAATACAGCTAAAATCCGAGCTCGATTAAAAATTCATCACAACTTCCGATAGATCTACGCAAGAAAATGCGACGAAGGAGAAGAGCAACTCAGATCTCTACAGTTACGCACTAGGTAAGATTAGATCACGGGAGAAATAGCCCGCAGCGGCATAAATGACGAACCCTGAGCGAAATTCAGGTTCAGGACGGCGAGATCGAGCAAAGATCGAACGGGAGCACTCCCTCACATGGAGATTCATAATCCAGCAGAAATCGAAGACAGAAAAAAAAAAAAAAAAAGGAAACCCTAGGCTATCAGAGCTGAAATAATAGAAGGGAAACATGAAGACGAGAAAAAGAATCAACTCACCATTGCGTTAGATTCCTGTAGCTTGAGATATCGAAAGATGAGAGAATATAGAGAGAGCAGAAGCAATGAACAGCGTCTCCTCCGATAATGTGGTCTGCGTACAGAAATGGCCGAATAAAATTCCTTTCTTAAAGCAAGTTAGGCGGCTCTTAGGTGTCGTTTGGAAGTTTTCAAGTGAGGTATTTAGTCAATATATCTAATGATAAGATTAAGTCATTTTTTTGGTTCAATTTGAGTTAGAATGCATGTATTATTTTTTTCTGGCCCACCCACAATCACTCAAAATGAATGATTGTCAATCTCTACAAAAAGTAGAGATTGTTAACAAGAGATTGTCTATCCTACTTTTTCCTCAATCATTATCTTTCCAAACAAGGTATTTTTCTGATACATGCATTGCATCAATACATCAAATAATAATACATGAATTGATTAAATGCATCTATTTGGAGAATCTCAACTTCCAAACATGCCCTTAGTCTTAGACGCTGGGAATAATACCGTGTTGGGGATTACATCTGTACTGTGAGGTCGACCTGAAGCGTCCACATCGGAATGCTAGGTCGACATGGATCTCTTACAAAGTAGTGGGTTGCATCATTTGCAATTTAAATTTTAGCTTTTCAGTCACCTAATATTTGTTGTAATCAAATCATTAAATGTAATCTGGGTCGTATCATTATCTATTTTATACTAAAATATATTAGTGAGTACGAAAGTGTAATTTTCTCTACCTTAAGAATTGTGTCTTCCTTTGATCTCTCATGGATCACTATGGGTTAAGGCTTTTCACTATCCTCTGGAATCGGTTCGACGTACAAAACCTAGATTCGTCACAAAAAATATTTGGTCGGACCCCTTCCTGCCAACATCTCCTACCTCTCTCGTTTCGTCCGCTATATCGACATTGGAACCAACTATTTTCTCGATGACATCCCATCATCCATTGAATGCCTAACCATTCTTCGTAACCTCCACCTCTATCAAAACCAATTTCACACTAATTCCTCTATTGGAGATTTAAATAGGGAAGATCAATAAATTAGGGATGACGTATAAAGAGTTTGTCCCTTTTTATTTCTCCCGAGTTTGGCAAACTAAACAAGCCGAGTATTTTATGAATCCAAAAGGTAGTATAATAAAAAACACACCTGAATGGTTCACCTATCTCCAAAATTTTAAGCACAAAGTGTGGTCAAGAACAATTTGAAAGGTGCAATTCTATATTGCATAGCCTTGCTCCGGAATATGAAACATCCCTATAATAAGTTGTTTAGAGGAATCACTAGGAATGTGAATGCATTGAGTGTGATGGAGATTGATGTCTCGATAAAATATCTCGATAAAATATCTCACAAATATCTTGAATAAAAGCTCTTGCAATCATCTACTGTATTGAATTGCAAGTTCTTCCTTAAGCACTCATCTTCTAGTGCTGCATAGCCTGTCATTGGAATTGCACAAATGAATACAATTAGTCAAATCCAACCAATAAAACTATTCAATACAAGGTCGCCTGGTATTTATTACAATCTCAACAAATATTCATTACAATCTCAACGAATATTCATTACAATGTCAACGAATATTTGTTACAATGTCAACGAATATTCATTACAATCTCACCTAGTATTCATTACAATCTCAACGAGTATTCATTACAATATTCATTGCAATCTCAACGAATATTCATTACAATCTCAACGAATATTTCATTACAATCTCAACGAATAATTGTTAGAATGTCAACGAATATTCGTTAGAATGTCAACGAATATTCCTTAGAATGTCAACCAATATTCAGTAGAATGTCAACCAATATTCTTCTAAAGATGAAGGCGTATTAATTAGAATGTAACGAATATTCTTTAAAAGATGAATGCATATCCATTAAAAGGTCAATGAATATTATTTTGAAGATGAATTTGTATTCATTAGAAGGTGAACGAATATTCTTATAAAGATGAAGCGTATTCATCTTTAATATTCTTTTGAAGATGCATATTGAAGGTGATGAATATGTACCAACTAATATTCGATGACGTAAAAGTAATATTCATGAAATTTAAAAAGTAATATGGTCATTAGGGCTAACTAGTATTCATGCAAGCGATATTCATGTTTCTGTTCCTCCACCAGGGATTTTCAAGATAGAACGACCAAGTATTCATGCAAGCACAGAACACCATGCAAGAAACCCTAAAACATAATAAATGCAAGCACCATAAATATAAACCCTAACACATTCAATGTTGATCAACAACCAAAACATATATAGGTCTAAATGAATATGATCTGTTTTTTTTTTGTCTTCACATACCCCCTTCTATTTCATCAACTGCGGCCATCCACTCTTGCGAGCCCCACAAACCATCTGATGAACCATCCGCTTTCAAGATGGTATCAGCAAGGTCCTCATCTTCTGGTCTGTCTCCTTCGACATAACCTTTATTGTTTTCAGTCGACAGATCTTCAAGGTGGACCTCCTCTTTTGGTGCGACATCTCCTTCGACATCATCCCCCATCTTCGCCACACTATCTTCCCTTCCTTGCATCTCCTTCTTCTCTTCGAAAGACCGATCTTTTTGGTCTTCACATACCCCCTTCTACTATCATGTATTCAACCTTCTTACCATATTGGTATGTTCATACCATAATGGTACGCTTTCTTACCATATGGTATTAAATACGAGTATACCATATGGTAATGACAGGAAAAAAATTATTCACTTTTTTTTTGTACTAAAAATATATCAAAGTGGATATCATTGTAAAGAGCACATTTAATCTGATTTATCTGTGCAAACAAATATTTAAATTTTGACTTAAAACGATAGAGAAATTGGCCGTTAAAGATTAAAGGGGAAAAAATAAAACACTTTCCAGGAGAGAGAGGGACAGTGATGTGATACTCATGTGGACGGTTTACTCATGGTTACTGATTATGAGGTTACTGACCGTGAGAAAGGTACAGAAGAGGAATTAAGAGACCGAAACGGCACTCTCTTGGCCTTCCTGCCAGGATAAAAACGCCTATTTTGGTTTTACATCCATCAACAATCTTTTTCTGTCAATCACGTATTCACATTCATGGAACATTTATGTTATAGTCTTCATCCAATATCTCTGTTACAAAACCTTCTTTCACTGTGATAAAAGTGGGTAAGAAATTGGATAGTAGTGAGAGAAGTTTTAGATTTTTTTTTATACTTGAATATCGTTGTCACTGTAAAAAAAACATCGATCAAACTAGTTGTCTTCATTTACACACTATATTAACCATGCAGGTTCTTATACCGATTGAGATTCATATGTGGTATTTGATTGTGCACACTATGTTTAACAAGTTGATGATCATGATGACCGAGATTGCTGAACAAAGGGTGCCTAGATATACTACTAGCGACTAAAATGGATTGCCCTAAAGTAGCTAACCAAGCTTAGGCCGACGTTAGAACAAAGAATCAATTTCTACAACTTCAGATTTTCACACAAAAAAAGTACAATTAGCTATGATCAATTGAATGCTGTTACGTCAAACACTCGTTAGAATGGCTAAAATGAGAAAGCTCAGGAGTCGGGAATCAACCCCGAAACAAAAAGCTGACCTAGAATCACTACTAGAACTAGAAGCAAGACTTATATATTTGTGAGCTACGACCTGAATGATCAAAATGAGAAAGTTAAGGATCGAAAGCAGAACAAAAGAACTTACCTAGCATCACAGGAAGCAAAGACTTTATAGCAATAGTTACGGTGGTTGACAAATTGCTGGTTATCAACAAACAAATTGAGTTTATAGGGATTCACTTCCTACATCATTTAGCTTTAGTACATATGAAAACTTACCGAAAGGGTAAGTTTAAAAACACTTTACAATATCCTCTCTCACCATTTGTGCTCCAAATATTCTCAAAGCCTGTGAAGAAAACCCTTAACATCCAAATAGAAGAGGCTCTCTTCTCCCTCTCCCTCTCTTCTTTTTCCATTTGGCTTCCAAACAGAATCATTAAATGGAATGAATTTCTGACTTACCAAATGTGAGCAAGTATTTTTTTGAATGCAAAAATGCATACTCGGAATCACAGAATTCGGTCTTGAAGATCGGTCATCAATGAAGATGCCAAGGAGCTGAGCTTCTTGCTGGTCTCTCCTGCAATGTTCTTGAGGTTGGAGATATCTTGTTGTGCCTAAAACAATGGTTCGTTCAGACAAGATTCGTAAGTTTTCACCAATTTGAAGAACTGAAGCCTAGCAACAAGAACAAATCATTTTAGACAACAATTACCTGGAAAGACAGCCGGTTGATAAGCTCGCCAGCAGCAAGATCGATGGTTGAGTTGTCATCATCATGGCCGAAAAGTTCTGCACTTGAGATAGCAGCTGAACCCTGGAGATGAAGTTTAAAACTCATTTTAGTATACTTCAGCGAGGATATTTAAGCTCAAACAAGCGCATTCTAGTACAAGGTTGATCAGAAGTGCCAGCATGAAACTCAGGTATATCTATGGTCCAACAGAGGTACTTGGGCAAACAGGTCTCGAGTTCTGAATCTATTCGTGAATCAAAATTATATGACTAATCCATGTTTGCACTTGTTTGTTTTACCTTGACTTCAATATTAACAAAAAGTCTTCCTCCCTCATAAAAATGAAATAGAATCTCTTCCCAAGGGATGATGATCGAAGAGAATTTACACATAATGTGAGTTTATATATACTTCTCAATTAGATTCAAGATATATACATATTGCAATTAGTGATTTTGTATGAGCTAAATCAACCAGACATACCGAGAATTTTTGCAAAGAAGTTTGAGCATCAAGATCGGTTGACTTGCTCCGATTGCCGAAATATTGGGCCGATGAAATTGATTTGGCATTTGAGAATTTCTTCCTTGCTTCATCAGTCTCTTGGACCTGATAACAGCAAAATATGATTTTATGCAGAGCAGAAGGTCAGGCAGATAGTTCATTCATAAAATCATGTAATGGCTGAGCTGAAACATCTGACAAGATAATTGGAAGTATATTTCTTAAAACATATGACACCTGAAGAACCAAGTCTAAATGTTGATGACATCAGAAATACCATATCCAGCTTAGATTAAACATCGATCTCCCATAGCCAAGGATTACCAGCAAATGTTGCTTAGAAAAACAGATGATCAGAAATTTAAGTCAGATCATTGGAAAAGGCATGTGTGTTTGTTTGGGCTATAACTATGGGTGGGGATGTCTTTAAGTGGGAGAAAAACGAGGTGACATTCATACTTTTATTGATTCCCTAGTCAATGTTTGATGACGCAGCATACTGGGAAGTGGGAAGATTCTGCATCACTGGGGTTTTATGAGCACGCAACAATGACAACAAACAGAAATTTGAGATTCCTAGGCAGGTAATCTAGGAGTTCCTAAACACTGACAACAAACAGAAATTTGAGATTCCATGCTATAGATTACCACTGGTAGTAACTATATGGTCATTCTAATACTCCAATGAAGACTACGTCTAACAAGACAACTGAGGCCTAAACAACGTTCCCCAACCATACACACAAATATGGTAACAGCTAGACAAAAAGTCTCAAAGGCCGAACCGTCTAGATTGAATATGATACCCTTCACGATCTAATAGAGCTAAACTAATATTCGGAATC